TTTTTTTCTGCTGATTAAATACCAGCCAACCAATAATAAACTATGTTGTGCTTCATAATAAGTATATAATAAGTCTAATTCAGCTAAACAACCGTTCAGTCAGCAATCACAGATACAAAAAAGTATCAAATTATTGTGTTTTTTTTTTTAAAGTAATGTAATATCTCGTCTGAGAACTGAGCCCAGTGTAATACAGAGTTAGATTCACATTAACATGCCACGACCTGTGTGTGTGTTGATGCCCAGTGAAAGAAGCTCCTGGTAGCCAACATGCTGTCGTCCCATATGGCTTCCTCCAGTCGTCTGTCCACCATCCTCATGTCTGCTGGTAACACTGAAATAAATGCTAAGACTGGTCACCTGACCCCTGTAAGCCACAGAACAGGCACCTGTGATTCAGCAGGTCAGGTCACTAGACTTGTTGGAATCACTGCTGCTCACAAAAACAATAGTTTATTCACTTTATTCACTAAATATACTGAATTCAGCAGAAGAAGAAGAAGAAGAAGAATTCGTGCCGGCCGTCTCGGTAACTCAGAGTTTATCTGATGAACAGGACTATTTTACGTCACGTGTCATATTTAAGAGCCAAACACAAAACAAAATGACCAAAGTAATAATGAAATTGTTGTTAGTCTGCATTTTAAATGCAAATAAAAAAGGGACTAGATGGATGCAAAATTCATTCTGTGTATTAATGTGTGTGAGTGTGAATGTGGTTGAAACTGCAAAAGAGAAAATGTATGCATGGGCATGCATGCTTTAGTGTTTTTGTGTTTTCTATAGGGATTAGACTGTACGTTAAACAGGATTAGCTTTGTTGATATTCAAGAGTCCCTCTTATATTCCAAGTCATTATAGACAGAAACTTCGTGGCTGAGTGGAAGCAATCATACCTAAACTATATAGACGAGGCACAGTGCGACAGCATGGATTTATATTAGAAAGAAAAAGGAAAGTTTGATGAGAAATCTGAAGAAAAAGAAAATAATGGAGGAGAGAAGAAGTGTAACTGTTGTCTGCATTGAATCAGTGCTACACAAGAAATTAACATTTAAAGACCAAAGCAAAAGTGTGTATAGACCGTGTGGGCTGGATGTATGTAGGCCAGTTATGGACTGTTGTTTTTCATTTTCGGTTTAAGAGAGTGAAAAAAGGGGATTAGATCAGAAAGAGAATGAGGATTGCCTCGGAGAGGACGACAGCGAAGATGAATAAAGATGAAGAAGGAGGAAAAAAAAGAGGATTCAACAGCAAGTTTTGTACAAATCTTGCGGTTGTTTATTTCGTGAAAAAGTCTGACCAACATCCTTATTAGTGTGTGTGTGTGTGTGTGTGTGTGTGTGTGTGAGACTTCCTGACCCTTGTGACTATTATCTTCTTACTCACTACAAACTATTTCCGCTGACCCTCGCTGTGTGTTCATGTGTTTGTTTATTACTCATGTAACGATATAGTGAAACAAGGTGTGGGCAGCATTCATGGCCGGCGAAACTGAGGTGGGTTGAGTGTGTGTGTGTGTG